TTTAGAATATTTTTTGTAGGAGTACTGCACATCACAAGAAGAAGAAATCTACTATTTAGCATAAGGGTACTAGGAAAATTGATTATTCATGTGAAAATTAATTTTGATCTCTATTTCACACAAAACTTCAAAATACCTAGAAGAAAATTTGAAAACATCTGAATGATATCACTACAGAAGGCTTCATTTGTGTGTGTGTGTATATATATGCATATGTGTGTGTGTGTGTGTGTATGTGTGTGTGTGTGTGTGTGTGTGCAGTCATGGGGGGATTTCTGTGGATTGAACCCAGAGCATTGTGTCTACTAAGTACTTTATCACCAAGTTATATTGTCAATCCTCTTTATTTTGAGGCAAAGTCTCATTAAGTTGCTCAGGTTGGCCCTGAACTCACTATGAAGCCCAGATTGGCCTTGAACTTTCAATTTTCGTGCCTCAGTCTTTTGAGTAATTGTAACCCACAAGTTCCTCTGAAAGGTTAGAATTGATTGGGGGGCAGGTCTAGAGACCCATGCTGAGCACACTGGGAAAAGGGTTGGAGCTGCCGCCATATTAAACACAGGGAAGTGATGGCAAATGGTGGGTGGGCGGCCATGTGCAAAAAGCTGGGAGAGACCAGGGGCGGGACACACTGATGGCGGCATTTCATGCCTTTGTAAGTCACCCTCTCCCAGATGTCATAAACTATGCAAAACTCAAATAGAATGTGTTATGTGGTTTTGTCAATCCGCATCAGGACAATGAGACCCTGAGTGAGCATAGGTGTCTCAGCAGAGAGGGGAAAATTTAGTGCAACAGTAGTTGAGAGTCTAGGCCTGTGCCCCCAGGCCCAGCTGAAACATTCTTTCTTACACAAAACACAAAATTAACAATCTTAAAGGAAAACTAATGCCAGGTACTAAAACAAAATAAAGAACTTGAATCAAAACACTGTCAAACAGTAAAAAGATGAATTAGACACTAGAAAAAAAGGTACTTGCAACAAGAACTCCTAAAAATCATAAGAAAAAGCAAACAGGATCCTAGGCAGGCAAGTAAAAAAGGGGCTCAACATTACTAACCAAGTGTATGAAAACTGAATCCACATGCTATTCTATGCTCACCAAGTTGGTATTGTTCAAAATCTGACAATACTGAGTGCTGACGGTGATTTGGAGTAATAAGCATTATTATTGACAATGGGATTAAAACTGATAATCATTTTGGAAAACAAGTTAAAATAGTTGATAAGGTTGAATATGCACATATCTGACAACCTAATATCTCTACTCTTAACACGTTTCCTAAACTTTAAAAAATCATTATAGCATAATTAGAAAATCATCACAGTTATACAGCACATTGGGGAAAATGCAGAGAATGCCTCTAGTTCTTACCAGCTTCCCTTAGGTTTCTTAAAGTCAATGGCTGGTTTGCCATCTGGGGGAATGCCCTAAAGAAACTCTTTATAATTATATCAGGAGACATGTATAAGCATACTTAGGAGAGAGATGATGTGAACTTGTTGAAATGGTGGCATCAGGCACAGGACCCACATCAACTCAATTAAACAAAGGCCCAAAGGGGAGAAGAGAAATAGGTGGCAGGCTGGCCCCTAGACTGAGAACTATTGGAGGCTGACTACTGCTGGGTGAGGGAGAGTCTGACTTACATACAATCACTAGATGGGCAGACCAGACTCCAGTGGTCACATTTACATTGAAGGACATTTGGGTATAAATGCCTGAATGAATAGGACTTATAAGATCATTCCATCTATGTGAACAAATTCACATAAAACAAAAATTTCTAATTTGCCAATGAAACCAGAAACCCTTCCATAGAAAACTGATAGAAGTTTTACTTTCATGCCTACCATAATTCCAAGAAAAGAAATTACCCTAATCAATAGATCAGGAACACAACAGAAAACATTATGCTGAACCTTACATTGAGAGGAACTCATCTGTTCCTCTCAATGTATGTTTTTCCTGACTAAAAGGTTTGAAAAAGTAGTGTGAAGAATCAGTATAAATAAACGCCTCATAAGAAGAAAGGGTCTGTTAACAAGCCGTGGAAGCTTCCTGAATGAACCCGCACCACCCCTTCAGAAGACGAACATACCAGTGATCATCTGCAATCAACACTCCAGACAACTGAATATCATGGCTTGAGCTTGGGTTGTACTTTCCAACTGTAGTTGTTCCTTCTTTTATCATGTACAACAGCATCTCTGACAGCTGTGGATCTTCGTTGAGATTAACAAGGTTTGGCAAATGGTTGTCCATTTGAAATGTAATTCCTGCTTTCTAGTAAAAGAAAAAAAAAAAAACCTAAGCTATAGTATGAAATTATTAAATTCACCTAGAAGACTGGCCTATGTTAAATATTTGAATCATATTATGTAGTCTCACATAGTTTCTTAGGGCTAGGGGTGTAGTTTAAAGTACATGCATGCATGTGTGGCACCCTGGTTTCCATCTCCAGCACCCCCCATTAAAGATGTGTTAGATACTCTTCTTTGTGACTGCTCTATGGCTGTGACCATCATACTGGTAAACTCATGGGGTTTCTTTCTCTCTCCCTTCACTATCCTCAGTCCACTCTTGCACTGAGCCACCGCCAGCAACTTCTTTCTATCTTACTGTCTTAGAGAGGACCAGGTGTTTCTGATCATGTCATTGCTACCACCTCAGTTCAGGCCCTTATCTCACACGAGTCACAGTGGGAGCCTCTCCACCACCATGTCAGCAAATTTCTTTGTTTTCAATCTATCTTATGGCCTACACCAGAAAATTTCTTCAAACTCAGCTCCCTGCTCCCTAAAAAATCAAACTTAAAAGTACTTGGTCTAGAAATCAACTGTTTGCCTTATAACCTCATAGGAAGTGCTTGCCCCGCCCCTTACTCCCATATGATTTTCCCATCCCAAAATCCTCTTTCTCTACTTATCAAAATCTTACCCAAACTTCAAAGCCAATCTAAAATTCTTACTTTTTTTTGTTTTATTTCATTTTTTCTTATGTAGTTCAGACTGGCCTCAAACTCATGTAACCCAAGTTGATGTCAAACTCAGGATCCTCCTACCTCAGCCTCCCAAACGCTAGTATTATAGGTGTGGACCACTAGGCATGGCAACTCTCACCTCTTCTGCTAGGACACCCTGGTCATTCCCAAGAAACTTTTTCCCTTTCCCCTGAATTCTTGTGCCTGTGTGTTTTTGTGTCCATGATGTATGTGTTTGTGTGGGTAGGTGCACATATACATGTGGATACACATGTGTATAGGCCAGAAGAAGTCAACATAGGGTGTCTTTAGTCTCCGCCTTTTTTTTTAAATTTTTTTTTTTTTAATGTGTATGAGTTTACTGCCTGCATGTATGTAAGTGCACCTGTGTAGTGCAATGCCCACAGAGGTCAAGAGAGGTGTCGGATTCCCTGGAACTAGAATTACAGATGCTCTTAGTTGCCATGTGGGTGGGTGTTGGGATTCGAACCTCGGTCCCCTGCAAGAGCAGTCAGTGCTCTCAACCACTGAGCCATCACTCCAATCTCCCCACCTTATTTTTTTGAGACAGGCCTTGTTCAGTGAACCTGGAGTTTATCGGTTGAGGCTAGGCTGGCTGACCAGTGAACTCTAGAGATCCACCTGTTTTTCTCCCCTGCACCATGAAACCACCAACCCTAGGGTAATAGGCATGGGCATGCACATCTTCACCCTGCTACACCCTGCTTTTATGTGGATGATGGGGATGTCAACTCAACTCCTCATGCTTATGTGGTAAGAACTGAGTCATCTCCCCAGCCCCTTCTTCTGAATTTTCAGTCAAATGTGCTTGACTGCCACTACCTTGGTTCTTAAATACCTTTCTCAAATATCCTTTAGAATTTCACTATATTAAGGAGTTTTGATTCCTCTAAAAATATTCAATTTCCATCCTTTAAAGAAACACAAATAAAAAACCAACACAATTCTTCCCTCAACCTTAGATTCCCCTCTACCTGATTTACACAATTCTCATTTTCAATGAGTCCCTATGTATGGCCCTATTTCTTCATCTATTATTCTTCACCCAACTGTCCACTGGCTTCTCCCCCTCCACTGCAATGGCCTCATAATTTCACAAGGCAATGCCCATTTCCAAAACCTAGAAATCATTTTAAAACACCTAAAAGTAACTGTGCCTGGGCCAGGAAGATGGCTCAGTGAGTAGAGGTGCTTGCTACAGAAGCCTAGCGACCCAAGTTTGATCCTTGTAACCTATGTAAAGGTGGAAGGAGAGGGGCTGGAGAGATGGGCCAGCAGTTAAGAACAATGGCTGCTCTTGCAGAAGACCCAGGTTCAGGTCTCAGGACCCACATGATGGCTAACAACGACCCCTAACTCCAGTTCCAGGACATCTGATGCCCTCTTATGGCCTCCTTGGGCACTGTATGACCCAAGTAAATTTACATGCAGGTAAAACACTCATGAACATAAAATAAAAAAAAATTTTTTTTAAAGTGGAAGGAACGAATCAACTCCATAAAGTTAGAGAACTTTATGGTCTTCAAATATGTGCCATGGCATGCATCCCCACACTTATAAGTCATACACACATATACAACAATAAATTAAAATTAAATTTTTTTAAAAAATTATTCCTTTTACTACTTTTCTGACTCCTGAATCCAACTCATTCTCTACTACCATCACTGTCTCACTCCAAGTTCTTATTATCTCTTGCTTAACCACATCAGTAGCTTCCAAACGACTCTCTTGTAATGACTGGGTCTTTCCTTCTTCAAATCTACCTTTCACATTATTACAAGAAAAATCCACGGAAAACAAACGTTTAGCTGGGTGTGGTGGTACATGCCTGTAATCCCAGCACTATAGAAGTGGAGAGAGTAGGATTAGGAATTCAAGGTCATTCTCAGTTATACAAAGAGTTTTCAAAGCCAACCTGGGACACATGAGACTTTGTTTCAAAGAAAAAAAAAAGAAAGTTCATTCATGTCACTCCCCTTCCATTTAAAACCCAAACCCCTAAATTCAAATTCCTCGTCACATAAGAATATGAATCTTGCATCTTTCTCCAGGCTAAACACTTTACTAGCTTTAATTCCCAATTACCTAAAACTTTTACTTAGAAATGTTGGCTTTGGTAGCCTAGCAAGTTCTTCTTCATTACACAAAGCCCTGCTTAGTTGTCTCTCTGCTTGAAGCTCTCCTTTGATAACTGCTCTCCTCAAAGTTAATTACTTCTCTCCTCTGTCCTGCTTCTCTTCCTTTTACCTGTTTTTCATTGCAACTGGATGAATCATGAAAATACAGTTTCATGTGTTTCCACATCATCAAATCATACATTTCAGTCTTCTGGTTACAAAGTCTGTGAGAGTCACAATTGTATTTATTCACCATGGTCTCGCTATTCCTGACACAATATAGATGTTTAGTAATTATTTATGGAACTAAAGTAACTATAACAAGACATTCTGCTTATATTTTGACTTTCCAACCAGCCTATGGGCTCTAGACAATCGCAGTCTTGATCCCAACATCTTGACATTAATTTTCCTTATGTATTTCTTTGCATAGAATCAGTATACAATATAGTTGAAAAAGTACATTTAATTTACAAATAAATTGACATATTTTTTAAATTTCAAATACAGTTTAGAAAGTTGAAATGATACCTGTAGTTCCTTTGTTTCTTGACGTTTTCTTCTTTCAGCTTGTTCAAACTTTTCTTTCCATATTCTTTCCAAAAACAAAATACTAAAGTTAAAATATCTAGATATATAAGACTGAGAATCAAGATACCATCAGTGAAGCTTGGGGACTATGTAGTAATATTTAAAATACTAATATCTAAAAGCAAGCTATTCTATTTCCAAGAATCCACAGCAATACGCTTCATGTATTTACCTTTGTATTTCTGCCATGTCTCTCTCCTGCTGATGCAACTTCATTCTTAAAGATGTGATTTCTTGTCGACAGAGCTTATACCGTTCAGGGTCAATATTACAATTGTTTCTCTGAGCAGCTTTTAACTTTTCAATTTCTGCTTTCAATTCTGAAGAGTTGTAAAAAGATGCGAGACTTATAACATTTGATACCTAATAATTTCCACAGTAGGCATAATCTTACAATTTTCTATTTCATTTAAAATTTGAAGATTTTATTTTTAATATTTTTATTGATTCAAGAATTCCATACAACACATTCTGATCATATTCAGACCTCCTCCCCATTCTCTACTCCCTTACCACCATCCCCACTTCATGCTCTTGGTTATTATTTGTCTTTTTTTTTTTTTTGGTCTTTTTGAAGCAGGGTCTCCCTGTAGCCCCAGCTGTCCTAGAACTTACTATGTAGACCAGGCTGGCCTTGAACTCACAGAGATCCACCTGCTTCTGCCTCCCAAGTGCTGGGACTACAGGCGTGCACCACCACCTCCAGCTATTTGTCTTTTTTTTAAAAGGCCTATTGAGTCTAATCTGTGTTTCCCAAATGCTCTTTGTGTATGTCTGTGTAGGGATTTGTACATATGAGTACAGTGACCTCAGAGGCCAGAAAAGGGCATTGGATTCTGTGGAGCTGGGGTCACCAGAAGTTGACAGCTGCCAAATGGGGATGATAGGAACTGCTGCACTTGGGTCCAAAGAGCACGAAGCACTCTCACTACTGAGCCACCTCTCCAGCTCCTAATTTAACATTTTAAATACTACTAAATAAAACAGGATACAGGGTCCAGCATGGCTCAAAAGGTAAAGGCGACTGCAGCCAAGCTTGACGACGTGAGTTCGATGTCAGGAGCCCACATGGTGGAAGAAAAGAACCAATTCCCACAAGTTGTCCTCTGACCTCCACATACATGCTGTGGCATGTGTGCACCCATGTATGTACACAGATTCATACACACAAGCTAAATTAATTCATTAAAAACCAGGTAGGGAAACCAATTTTACTTATATGATCTATAAACCTCTACCAAGCCTTAACCTGAAAGAGTGTTCCCATTTCAATGAATTTCCTCCTTTGTAAATAGGCTGGTCATAAACAACCAAAGTGGGACACTTCTGTGAGACACAGAGGACATGATTAATTACACTGGGACAACAAACATGAACAGGGATTACATGAGTAATCCCTAGGCAAACATACTCACCAAGACATATGGGATAATATAAAAAGTTTCAAGCTGGAATTCAGAATGCTTCTTTTTTAAAGCAGAATTGAGCTTATAAAAAGATATTCTAACATTCTCAAGCACGGGAGTTTTAATCGGAAGAGAGGTGCTCAGGGGAGGAATGAGACATATCCAAGAGTGGGTATGGGTCTCTCAAGGGAGAGTCACCCAGAATACTTGTATGTGATAAAAACAATCTTATCTGTAAAAGAGGAAGGATCCCAAATGGAAGGATGGGCAACGGTCGTGAAAACTCCTCCTCTGGTTTCTACCTCTGAAGTATCTACTGCCTTTTACTGCTAAAAGGCACCAGAAGACAAAGGTTTAAAAAGATGCAGCTTGGGCTGGAGAGATGGCTCAGTGGTTAAGAGCACTGACTACTCTTGCAGAGGACCCGGGTTTGATTCCCAGCACCCACATCGTGGCTACGAACAGTCCTTAACTCCAGTTCCAAGGGAATCCAAAGCCCTCTTCTGACCTCCATGGCATTGCACAACACGGGTGCACTCACATACATGCAGGCAATACACTCATACACATAAAATAAAAATAATAAATATTAAAAAAAAAAGATGGCGCTCCATAGAAGCAAAGTTAAAATGAGCTTCAAGGCTAAGTCCAAATGAGATTCCTTGCAGGTATTATAGTCTATCCTACAAGGAAACTAGAAAGCAGTCTTCAGCACAAACGACATCAGGACTATGCTAGAAACTCATGTCCAAAGAGCCTTGGGATGGATGAGCTAAGAATAGGTAGAGCTAATAAATGGAATGACAACGAAGGAAAGGCCTTAAGAAAGAAATAATAAAACAACCTCACTGTTAATCTTGCTGTACACATCTAGGGCTCAATCTGGAAAATAAATTTTCTGCTTGCTATTTCCACCTTACCTACTCTATTTTCTAATTTTTCTAATTGCTTCCCCCTTACTACCTACTACTACTCTCTCTCACTGTCATACCTATCTTTCTCCATCACTGTGAGACTTATAACATGAATCTAGTTACTATACATATATGTATATACTATATATATTAGTATATATAGCATATATACATACATATACATATATATGTATGTCTAAACTGTTGAGCAATAACTTTTTAAATTGGAGAAAATAGGGGCTAAGAAATGATGGCTCAGTGGGTAAAGCACCTGCTGTGTATGTGGATGGGAGTTCAGATCCCCAGCACATACATAAACGTGAGGTTGTGTGGCAGCCTATCTGTAAGTCCAGTGCTTGAAAGGCAGAAGCAGGGATCCCAGGGCAAGCTGGCTAGCTAGCTGTACTGCAGAGCTCAAGGTTCAACTGAGAGACCTAATCTCAATTAAAAAGGTGGAGAGTAATCTAAGAAGACTCCCAACATCAGCCTTAGGCTCCCACACACATACAAACACCACATACATCCACATACGTGTACACACAGGCCAACCACACACTGATACATGCAAAAATAAATTAATAACTTGAGGAAATACTCACCTCTAATTAACTTAGCATTCATATCTTCATTCACTTTAGCCACATTGACTATCAAGCGGGCTTGGCTGGCATATCGAAGTGTGCTTAACGTCTCCTCTATGTTGCTGGCAGCAGGGCTGATGGTAGCAATCATTGCCGTTTTGGAATTTCCACCCAGGCTTTCTTTTAATAGCCTTTAAGGGGGGAAAACCCATTCATAATTAGACTTTGCTTCTACAACAACCTAATGGCAGTAATTATCTAGAAAACATAAAACAAAGTGATAGGGTATATAATACAGCATTATATTCTTCACTTGAATCCCATTAAAATAACTCTGGTATTTGTAGCTATTTTGGATATCATAAACACTTCATTTTCTCTTACACTTTCTTTTTAAATTTTTCACTTATTTATTTTTCTTTTATGTGTTTGAGTGTTATGGCTGCATGTCTCTAAATGCACCCATATCATACAGTGCCCATGGAGGACAGAAGAGGGCAGTGGATTCCCTGGAACTGGAATTACAGATGGTTGTTAGCCTCCATGTAGGTTGCTGAGATTCAATCCCAGATCTTCTGCAAGAGCAGTCAGTGCTCTTAACCACTGAGCCATCTCTCCAGTCCTCTCTTACACTTTCTAATTACTTTATGAAATAATAATCTGTACACAGATTTTAAAACATGATTAAGCACCAAATATTTAGTAAGTTCCTCTCTGCTTACCAGACTGTGAGCTACTATAAGAAAGAAACTATGTACTATACTGTAGTATGTGCAAAAGTTTTATTTTAGAGGAAAAAAATATGAGGCTTAAAACATATCCTTTATTAGTGCAAAATGAATTGCACTATTCCTAATTTTTCAATGCATTAAAAAAAAAGATCACATCCTCCCTTTTAGGTTCCAAGGTAGAAACCACATTATAATTAATCAATTAGAAGCTGGGCATGGGGGGAGCCACATGGGAGACTGGAGATTGAAGCAGAAGAACTGTCATGGGCTTAAAGCCAGCATGGGTTACATAGTATGTTCCAGGACAGTGTGAGATCCTGTCTCAAAAAAAAAAAAAAGGTTGGTTGGTTCATGAACATAAGGAAACAGGCGCTTTCAGGTCTCTGGGGAACTTGCTCATGAACTTGCAACAATGCTGACAGCATGCACAAGACCCATGCCAACTCAATCAGACAAAAACCTAGCATAGAACAGGGGAAAAAGGCAGCAGGCCCCAACCTTAGCCAAGGCCCAACCCTAGCCAAGGAACTATTGGCAAATGATTACTGTGGGGTGAGAAAGAGTAATCTTCTTTAAAGGGAGGTGATTCTAGATAGGCTGAGTAGACTCTAGTGAATGAACTTGCACCGAAGGACATCTGGATACAAATGCTTAACCAGATAGGACTTAACAAATATGACAGAATACCTTAAATCTGGTGGCGGGGTCAGTGGGGGGAGAGTGGTATGAGGCTCAGGGAGGGGGTCTAAATTTGATTAAGATGTATTATATGAAATGTACAAAAACACAATAAAAAAAATCAGAGAGAAAAAAAATCCCCAACTAAATAAACAATAACAATATACCAATTGATAGATAATAGATAGATGGATGATAGATGATAGATAGATAGATAGATAGATAGATAGATAGATAGATAGATAGACAGATAGATGATAGAATGTGCACGATAGATAGATGATAGATAGACAGATGATAATAGATAGGTAGATGATAGACAGACAGATGATAGATGATAGATAGATAGATAGATAGATAGATAGATGATAATAGATAGATGATAGACAGATGATAGACAGATGATAATAGATAGGTAGATGATAGACAGACAGATGATAGATGATAGATAGAGGGTAGATAGATAGATAGATAGATAGAAGATAGATGATAGATAAACAGATGGTTGGTAGGTAGGTAGGTAGATAGATAGATAGATAG